TAGCTTAACCCTAGGGGTATATCGGATCCAGGCCATATATACTTCAAGAAACTAAATAATAGCTTTTAGCAACTGTTGGGTTGATGTTCACTTACAGTTTTGTATACTACATTCAGTCACAGCCCCTGTTGTTAGTAAGTTAATGACAAAATGGAGAGAAAAGTAACTTCAGTAGATTAGGAGGGACTGACTGACAAGAAAGATTAAAAGATTGAACTATATACAGGTCTTGACTAAAAGGTGACTGGGCGTAGCAAAATGAACATGATAAAAATCATATATATTTGAAGATTATAATTAAAAGGTATGGATAAAGAATAACTAATTAGGGTTGCACGAAACCAGATGACTTGAGGAATTTGAATGCAACTAAAGAGGGATAATAAAGCACAGTATCATAGAAAATGCTTTAACAATCACTTTTTGTAGTAATGGAAGCCCCTTTGCTTGGAAAACTTAAAAGCTGACAAAGTCTATTTTAAAGAACACCAGGAGAAAGGAGGCAATTAAACATAGGTTTGTGCCATCTGCAACTGAAATTTCTGTTCTCTTTTTTTGGTGTTCTGACAGTAGTTTGTATACAATTATGATTTCAAAAGTTTTGGGTCAGAAATTAAAAACTCCCAAATCAAACATTAGATCTAAGTTACTGCATCCTGCAATGCCTATTAATTGTCTCCCATTTTCTCAATTAAACATTCTTTAAATACACTACTTGAAGTGTCTTTTCCTTCATTTGACTCGCTGACTAGATTTCCCATTCCAGCTGACCTCTGTGAGAAGAAAATGAGAAGAAATGTGTTTACAGGGCAGCCTATTTAAATTCAATTTCCCTTGCTCTATGTTGAAAGAAAGCAAGTTACTGCATTTTCCCTAGTCTTCAAGAAAGTTTTGGAGAACATTCAGCATTTAGAAAAGATTGCCCTTGTATTTCTTTTGGAACAGGAATCAGAGTTCTTGTTATTGAAATCTGAAATAAAGACAATATACTCTCCAAGATTAACTCTTAAAATCTAAGTAATCTTTCATTTTAGGATGGAAGATCAGTTGTTCTGTTAAAAATATTTTTTTTTTTAATGCCACAAGATTAACAAAATTTGCAGTCTTAAAAAAGACTTTCACCTATTTTAAAAAATTACCTACAGCAGATGATTCATAAGGAAGAAAATTAGAAGACGTCACACTCTTCCATGACTTTACAGTTAGCAAGAAGAACAAGAAATATCAGCTTCCCAAAGCACTACAGAAGCCTGATTAAAATTATTCATGATATAATAAGCTGTACCTACTGATCTGATGGCAATTGTAATTACCTACAATTTTTCCAGACAGGATGAATGCCATAGTTTGAAGCCCTCCTCATTTTCCTTTCCCTTAAATCACCTTTTCGGGCCATAAAACTTTGGTGAAAGACAAGATTCTAGACAAGATTTATTCATAGATCAAAGTCTTTTTATATGGGATAATCACTTTTAAGATAGACCCATGTCAGGTTTCTGCATAAGAAAGTACTCATGGCTATAGTTTGAATCTGGGTCTGTATGTATGTTGTAATTCCATGATGGACATTTCTCTCATACAAAGTAAGTTTTGTTCCCCATTTCTCATGTTCCCATGGTAAAAGGCTTTTAGATATAAATTAACATGGTTGTTTTGTGTAAAGAGTAAATAAATAAGATTCCTGTGTGGATTCATTCATTAGTGCCTACTGCACCACCTATTCTCTTTCATACTGATTTTAACAAGTGTTAACAAATAGTTTATTGCCTCATGGGTTAATGCAACATTGAAAAGATTAAAAATTCCTACTAGATTGCAGTCTCAGGCAGAAGAGACAATTTTGTCTCCCTACCCAAAGAGCTACAGTTATTTACAGTCTTCATGGTAGAAGATAAGAAATCTCAAATGAGCAGTATTTAGAGACTTGTAAAATGTCTGCTTTTTCAGACAAGTTGGCAAGGAGAGTAGTGTGATTTTGGTTTTGAGAAGTCATTATCTGTATGTGGGGATAAGTTTAGCCCCCAAAGAAGCAAATCCATTGTTTTCCTGTTTAACCAGCAGGATATAAAAATAAAAATCTGACAAACACATGCAAGGGAAACAAATGAAAGAAATGACAGCACTGTGTGATAAAAGCCAGAGTTCTGCAAGATTTTGCTTGTGAAACCGTACGTTATATAAAGCACTGTTGATTAGTTTGAGGAATGATAGGCAACATTCAAGGAGATGGAAAGTTTTGCTCTTCTGAGTCCCAGATGTAATATTTTAACAGGGAGAAGAACAAGTGTGCACAGACATGTGTAGTTAATTCATTTAGAGATTACTGAACAGAGGCATATATTACTACCTCCCATTTTTAACCTGAATTTTTACAGTTCTATTTTACATACAACCTAGTAAAAGAAATACATGAGAAAGCTAGTCTACAGTGTAGAGTATAAAATTAAACGTAGTTCAAAGAGCTACATTTTAAAGAGGTTTCTTGGCATCTAAGCATGTAAATAGGTCCCATGACAGATCTTGTTCTGTGCTACCATATGTTGACAGAATTAAGCCCCCTTGAAAATTCCTTAGAAATCTGGGTGCTTATAGCTATTTAAGCACCTGTTTTCACTGCACTCCATGCTTAAGAGGTGATAGCCACACCAGTACCATGAAATTCAAACTTACCTTCACAGTCTGAAAATGAGATTTAACAAAAAAAGGTATCTTTCTCTGTATCAGAACAAATACCAGGTGATATATAGTCACTATGACTTCTCCGTGTTTCACTTAATCACTGTGATTTTCCAGCAGTTAATTATTATTTATTTTAAACAAAAAAACCTCACCACTGAGTCTCAAGCCAACTTGTTTTGTAATAAAAGCTCCATGAAACTCACCTGCTGTAAATGTAGCATCCCATATGATTGATTTCTTTGTCTAATTTATACCGTCGAAAGTCCTCCCAAGCATCTTTAATGGCTGTAATGGCCATTATAACACAAATTGGGATCACGGAGACTTCTGGTTGGAAAGCATTCACCACTGGCACAAAATTCAGCAGTGCAATGACCACAAAATAAATATTGGCAAAGCGGTGAAACTGCTCATAGATATTCTTAGGGAAGAAAGTCAAGATGGTATACTTTGTAGTCTTAATTTTATTGGAGTCATAGTATCTGTTTGGATTTTCCTTCTGCTTCTTACTTCCAAAGGGCAAATTGGAGATGATCACTCGTTTATTTTCATATTTCTTCTTTCTTTTCTTTACTTTTTTTCTCTTCTCCAGCTCTTCGTTTTGGATTTCAGTGTCTGGAGCAGCACATCGGCAGCAGGTTTCTTTGAAAAAATGTTTTTTCCATATCATTCTAGAGAAGCAGCCTGAAACACTTTTCCTCGACATCTTGTTTTCCTCTCAAAAAGCAGTCTCAAGTTGGAAACCAACAAAGTTAGAAGAGTTCAATAATCCAAACTCCCAAGTGGTGGAGAGAAGACTCGAGAAGTCTGAAGACCAGGGTTGCCTCTCCTTTGACTCCAACCTCCACCTGCCTAGGGACAGGTACCGTCCTGACTCAGCTGCACCGGGCCCTAGAGCCTGCTGGGGAGGCTGCACCTCTTCTATGACAAAAACATCCTGAATGTTTTGTTTTTCCTATTAGCATACACCTGGAGGCTCCATTCAGAGCATTTCTCTGGCATTGACTATCTGCTCAGATGAAATGTCTCTGTTTCAACACAGAGCAGCGACAAAGCTAAGAGCACCCACACAATTTTCACAGTTCACTCTGTGAGTTTCAGAATCACTTTATAACCCTGGGAGTTGCCAGGAAGTTCAAAGGTAATGGGCAGAGCTCTGTGTCCCAGAAGTCAACAGAAGATTTCTAGAAGCCTCAGTAGAGACAGTATTTCTTTCTTTTACTTCCTCTATCTACTAGTTGTTTTCATGACCATAGAATGGATTATTAAACAAACAACACCCATCCCCCCAAACCAAGCAAACCTGTGATTTGGTAGTTGTGCAAATCATGCATAGACATAAGCGATGGAGGGCAGTTTATCCAGATTACCCCTCAGCCTGGTCCTTCTCCTCTGACAGACCCTCTGCTTCTGGACACCAAAACGTCACTCACTCACCCAGTAATCCCTTCCAGCCTCTCATTTCTTCTTCCCCATTGGTCCTTGTGCCTCTGACACATAAGTAAGTAAGCACAGATGAGGGCTCATTTCCAAGAGAGTGAATGAGGTCTATAAAAACCATAGTAATTTTTAAAAAAAAAAAAAAAAAAAAAAAAAGAGACCCAAACTTTAAAATATCTTTTAAATGAAAACTCCTATCTACCGCATTATGTAGTGACAAGCTAAGTAGTCTCAAGTCAAGTTAGTACTTGGACAAGAAATTCTGATGAAATCGAAATGTTGCAATAAGAATTGCACATGAAAATATTTCTTCCTTCTGAGTCAGTACTGAGCAAACATCACAGCTTACTGTGGGTGTTGTACCATCTCCAAAGCGAAACTGTGTTGTATTGATAACCTGTGTTTACTGGAAGTCCTATAAATTTTTTTTAAGCTCCTGCTTATGCTTCACCTTGAATGAAGCTGCTTATTAATTTTTGTGTTAATGGTTTTAGTGTGAAATGTCTGAAAGACATTGCTCCAATTTGTTAACAGCCCCAGTAATCCTTTACAGACTTGGATACATTTAATTTTTCCTCCAGATCCTTCTGCTACCTGGAGAGAATGTTGTGTGTGTTGGCAAGCTGGTTTGGAAACTTGGAATGAAAACTTGTATATCAGCACACACTGCTGTGATATGAAACAAAACTTCAATGATACCAGGATGACTTAAGTGAGATAAACGAGGCATTTTTAAAGGCAGAACAAAACTCTTTTATAACAGCTTTTCCAAACTTACTGTACACCAAAGGATCAGTGGGGCAATTTCTGCAAAATCAGATGAGCAGTTCAGTTTCCACCACATCAAATGCAAAGAAAAATAATTGGTTTAGTTTACTTACTTGTCATACACCCTGGTTTTAGAGAAGTTTATTGTCTTATCAAATCGGTATTTTCTATGGTCTTCAATAGCGTCCTTAATCATACTGGCAAGCAGCACCACAATCAGAGGCAACATAGTAATCTCCTTGTGGAAGACTTCCACTTGTGGGAACCAGTTCAGAACCACCAGAAATAAGAAATAAAGATTACCCAGCCTGAAAATGTATAAAATAAAAGTAGTCAGAAATCAGAATGTGTCCTTTTCTTAATGAACATTCCCCATTTTGTGTCAAAGGAACATTAATTATTATACTCCTCTACCCTCCTCTTCCTTTCCCAGAATGAATTAATTAGTTGCTTAACTGAGATGCTAATTTTTTCTTTAGAAGAGCCTGTGAAATACATTTTCATAATGTTATAGCTACCTCAATTTTCCCACATATTATAAACACTTTTTATCTCTAGGAGCTAAAACTTCTTTAATGATTCCCCCTGCCTCAGTCTTGGACATAAGCACCAAACAAAAGCCCCCCCCAACCTTAAAAAAAACCCCAACCAATGTAACAGAATGGGTGTAAAACCCCACATGTTCAGAATTATGGAAATGTCCCCATCAGGAATCCATGAAGGATTCTACAGGTGAAAGGTCAAATTATGAATGTGTAAATCTAATATACTGAATGAAAATTTCAAAGCTAGATATGGATAGACAACTTTCATTTATCTTTATCATAATGATATTTTCCTGGGCATCTTAATGATACAGTTCATTATGCGGGGGGGCTACATAATTTCAAACCAGCACTTGGAAAGAAACCTGACCTACTACTTGTATATACATGTATTCTGTTTATAAGTTGGTAGACAAAGTATCTTGCATTCCATTAAAAATGTACCAAAATTAATCTACGAGCCTCTGAAATCTACAGAACTTCAAAGGTGTCTCAACACATCCAATGAGTGTCTTTAATATTCTTAAAAAGTAGAGATTTATTAAATATAGAAACAGAGGGATTTTAAAATAAAAACCTGAAATTTTTACACAGGTAACTGTTCCAACATTCAAACAAGAAAACTGGCCACAGCATCCATTAAGCACCCCTAGTGTTTGTTTCAAACCTCCAGTTCAGTGTGAATCAAATGACATTTGGTTACAAATAATCATCACCTAAATTTTAGTAATGTGGCAACTATAAAAGCAGCCCTTTTCCATTACCCTCAGACATCACTGTTTCAGAGAGAGTTATTAAATCTCATATATCATTGAATGACTTTTTTTACCTGTGAAACTGCTCAAAAAGATTTTGGGGAAAAAAAGTGAACCATGTGTATTTTGTGGTCTGTATTCTGTTTCCAGAATAAACCACAGAAGCTTGTTTCCAGTCTTTCCACTGTCTCCCATTGTCAGGAAACACAATCCTCCATTTGTTTAAGTTGGGTCTTGGTTTGTCTCTGACAGAAGACAGCAGTGGTGTTGATTCTGATGGAGTCTGGGAGGAACTTTCAGCTCCTAGTCTCCGCCAACGGTACAAAGCAGAATCCACAGACAAAGCCATTCACAGCAGGGATGTCAGACTGAAAGACAAATGCATGACAAGGACTGAAAACCACTTTGACTCTGGTAGAAAATTAACTTCATGTCTTGCTAGCAGACGTTTAAAGCAGCAAACAATACACCTGTTCAGTGCATTGCATGTTCAGTATTTGAGCTCAGCACTTTCTGCAGAGAATGCACAGAATAAAAGATACGTTGTCTTCAATATGGAAAAATCTATTTCTATCTCTGGGGAAAAAATCCTAAATCTATTTTCTGTGTGTTAAACAGCAAACTAACATAGATAAAGCCAATTTAACAGAGGTGAACAATGGCTTTTCCATCACAAATTCTGTATCTTTTTCCTCAGTTTATGTACCGAATCTATTCAGGCATTTTTCTTCAAACATCTGACTTCCTTACATTACTTTTTCTATTCACACTTTCTTACAAAAAGAGTGGTTCAGGTGTTGAATCTTAATAGCCCAGATAATAAAGAACTGCAGCATCAGCTTAATGTCATTTACACTCATGTAACAGTTTTCCAGAGTCTCCACAGAAATCTGATTTGAACGGAAAATGCCAGCCAGCACAAAAACAATGGATGTTTTATTCGTTGGAGAGATAAAGGAATTAAATCTCCCAATACTAATCCTATTATCACTGAACACTTGACTTGTTCACACATCCACAACTGCAATTGTGATCCAGCGTGCAGGATGCTCAGCCAGCAGTGCAGGGGTATATGCTGTAATGCTCAATCTAAACACAGGAAAATCTCAATCCAACAGCAGGAGTTTGAGGACTGGAAGCTGCCTTACAATGATGAGGCACTAAATGTGAAAAAGCAAACAAAGAAAAGGCACTGGCTTTGTGCAACTTCAAGGTTCCGCTAAACAGAACATGTGAACTGAACCCACCTCACTTAGACTGTGGAAATAGAAAAAAAAAATATTATTTGAACTTGGACAACCGTCATTTAGATAATTTCACTTAAAAATTGGTTTAAACTTTATTTAATAACAGCTGTATTTGAGGCAGATTGAGAATATTTGTATGTATTTGTACAGGTCTAAACATATTTCAAATACATTAAACCTTCTACTATATGCAATACGTGATTTCCTTTGGAAAAAAAACCTTAATCGTATTTAAAAATATGTACATGTTTGAGTCTTGGAAGGGGAAAAAATATACTGTACTGAATTTTACTAACACATTTGAAGTGTGCTGTTTCATCAGTAAATAAATATTTTTTATGCATTATTACTCACTGGCTGCTCAAAAAACTTCAGATTTCAGGTTGCTCAGCAGCACCTCAGGATCCTCTGCAATATTGAGAATGGCTAATTTATGCCTATCAGAAGCTTGGAAATACTGGCTCAGTCGATACAACTCCCAATATTTAAAGAATCTGGACTTAATGTTGTGTTACCCTGATAGGGAATTTTGAAACTCTGAATAGCTGGGAAGATGCAAAGGAAGGTAAATCGCACAACAAGCAAATGAAAGGAGTTTTTAACAGAATTTGCTGTTACTTCTGCTGTGATCCACAGACTGGAGTTCCAGCATATATCCCTTGATTTTAGATGAGTTTATTGTGTTTGTAATAACTTTATTCACCTGTTGAAAGATGAGCCACGGTAAGGTAAAACAGCTGCCATTGTGATAATGGGTTCATGTGTACTTAAAGAATGATCTCCAGTTCTTGCTGAGTGTCAATAAAAGCAGCACGCCTCCAGGATCCCAGGCCATAGATGGACTGTAGGCAACATGTAGTAAGTCAGAGATGGCCTGCATAGGAGAGGGACAGTGATTTGATGAAGGTATGCTGAACCTAAACCGGAGCATCAGATTCCCCTTCACTCCGCTTTTGTGCTGTGTTCCTGGGTGGTCAGCATGGGAGTGTTGTGCTCATAGGCAGGAGAGGAAAATTAAGGACATTCAGGACATCCTTCATTTAGGACTAGTGAGAATCTTGGGACAGGACACCACCACCAGCTGTCTCTTAGCATGATGAAGTGTCATTTGGTTTATTCTGCTTTCCTGTGGGTGAAGAGCTAGGGAAAAAAGACACCTAGACACAATAATAGTATGAAGTACTGACTTGGAGAATTAATGGAAAGCCTTCTATAACTTCCAAGGTGTAACAGACAACATTTTTAGAAGACTTGGATTTCAGGAACCTTTCCTCTGTAAGATACCAGATTTATACTAACAAGAGAGAGGACTGGAAGCACAGCAGACATGGTGACTGACTCCCTTGTGTCTGGGTTTTAGCACACTTGGTGCTTGTTTACTGAGGAAAATTCATCATTTGAAGGTGTTACATCAAACACACAACCTAAAGCTCTGGATGGTTTCCTCAGAACTTGTAGTTTAATCCATGAAACAGGACTTGTAACCCATGTTAACTACTCTGTTAGTGCCCAAACAAATCAGGACTTTGAAATCAAGATGATACTCAACCTAAATTGTGTTAGAGCCAGCACTTCCTTACACTATAATTTTTTATCTGTGGTGCTGAAAGATTTTACAATGAAAAGGCAGAAATTCTATTGTTGGTAGTTACTAAAAAAGGCAAAGCTATTACTCAGTGGAAATGCTAGGGTGAAATGATGCAGCTCATGTTTGCTAGTTGAAGGCTGGATACATTTGCCACCTTGCTCTGTGCAGTAAGCTCTCAAGTTGATTTCATTTACATCATAAATTAAGATCTGAATATTGGATGGAGGAGTGGCGGTCTTTAGTGGCTCAGATACACACTGAGTACATGTCTTTATCAACGTTATAATATATATATAAAAGTTACATGTAACAGAGCTACATATATGAGTTAGACACAACATTCTTATTGCACCAAATTCTTTCTGCATCTGAGATACATCAAGATAGGTTTAAATTTCTTAGAAATCACCAATGAAAAAAAGGCAATAGTTTCAGGCGTATTACTGAAAATATAAGCAGACAAGATTAATTAAGGCAGCTTTACACACAAATAGTAGCATGTATTCCACAACTTCCCCTGGGAAACATTTTCTACAGTTGCACAAATCACAATTAGGCAAGTCTGCTTCACATTCAAGACAGGGGCTCTCCCCACCCCATCTTTAACTATTTACTTAGTGTATAAATCGATGAAAGAATGACTTAGTTTTATTCAGTTTGGAAATCAACTCTCTCCTCCTGGCTTTATTTGAAAGGCAATGGTCATAAACAGTGCCATATCCATGAAGAGATAGGCCAATTGGTGCCACCATGTAATTAAATGTGTCACAGGAGATGTAGAGACCTCATAACATAAACCATGCAAAATTAAGCAACTGATATATGGGGAGGTAAATTATGTAGCTGGATGCATAATCAAAGCAGTAAGCTTACTTGACATATGAATTTCAGTTCTGGCAATGAAAAGATAGCAGAAGCAAACATAATAGTTATTATTTCAGATCAGTAAGAATAAAAAGGAGCCTAAACTTGCCATCAATGTTAGGAGATGACTAAGCAGGAAAGAAGAAAGAACTCAAAGATATGTTATTCTGTAAAATGACAATTTTCTACAATCCAGTCAACTGCTTACAAGAATCTTCCAATTTACTGGCACTTTGATGTGCTATGCCAGTTATTTTGTGTATGGTAGGAAATCCATTAAAATTATTGCATTCCTCTGGCAATATACCTAACACATCTGTCCCAAATCCTTCTATAAGAGCTTCATAAAATCCCTTTTCTGCAATTCTAGAATATTTTACATGTGCACACCCATTTGATTTATGTTTTTACAGAGATATCATTGAAAGAACCCATGAGTGTGGATTGTTTCAACATGTTTACCAAAGGGACTGGTTTTCTTCCATCTGTAATAGCTAGTGAAGCTTCAGTACCACAATACATATCCTGAACAGGAAAGATCAAGGCAATGCAGACATTTCCAACACCATTATGTTTTGGATTTGCCATCTATTCCACTTCAGCATAGTTATTACAACAAGTGCTACTTTCAGTGCTGGCACATTAGAGCTATTGCCGTTTTGCCTAAGCTCCCCTTTGCCAGCCATTTCAGAAATGCTTGCCTTTAAAAGGAATCAGCAAGTTCCAGTGGTTTGCTTTATTTCTGACTGGGATTTTGAGACTTCCCACAGGACGAGGTCAGAAACGGAGAGGAATGTCAGCCATGGCTGCAGGAAGCTACACTAGTCTTAGTTATCCTGTAACTTCTCAAGGCACAACATGCTGAGAAATACAAGGAAAGCACGTGCCTGTGCTTCGGCTTGGTACTTGTCAGATGTGGAAACTAGGGGACAAAAAGAACCCCTCTATGTCCTTAAAACCACAAAACCTAGTAAGTGGGAGGGAGCCTGGAGAAATTAGTTCAGTAAGTCATACAGAGGGGTATCCATGATGATTTCCCTCTACTGATATATCATCACGGCAGCATAAGCTTTTAGTGTCTCAGTGCCCAGTCTTTTGTGAAGTTGCAGTCAATTAATGCTATTAGCATCATTCCTATGGAGTCGCACTCAACAGCCTTAAAAGCCTCAGTTTCAAGAAACTATTTTCCCTCTTTATTTCTGTTCCATTGACAGATTTACTGTGGGCAGCTCTCAAGAGGACAGACACATTTTCCACATCTGTAACTCCTACATGGTTTTCCAGGGAGAAAACATCAGGAATCCAGCCTAGGACAAGTCCTCTCCCTCCTTGTAGAGATGCCCCTCAAGGTTCCAGTAACCACAGACATATATTAATTCTATGAAATTATAATGAATCATTACCTATTTTATTCTTCCTTTAAGGAAAGGCACTCCTTCCCACAGTCCAAACTTCTGTCACTCCTCTCTGACCTTCCAGTGATGCTACTATGGTCTCAAGAGAAAGGCAAAAAGCTAAAACATGTCTATGTATCTCAATTCCTGAACTTCTGCTTCTGGAAAAATCAAGACAAGCAACATATAAGTGATTAAACTATTATCTATTTATAGCAAAGGTAACTTAGCCATACAGAAATGTGTCTGCTAGACACCAAGATACACTCAGATGTGAGATGAAAGATGTGTAAACTGGTGTTAGCACGGGAGGTTAGATGCAGTAGTCACATTATTTCACAAGCCTGCATCAAAATTCCTGCAATGTGAAGCAATAACCAAAGCATGAAAACCTTTGTACCTCTCCCATAAAATTATGGAAGAATGTACATACAAGAAAGCTGTCAAGATTTCTGATGTTTGATGAAAGAGTGAACAATAGGCTGTAAATTAAAATGGTATCATTCACACTGTTATCAGGAAGCTCTTAAAAAATCACAATTTCTTCACAACAAAAGGAAGACTGACATCATACTCTTTCTGTAGAGTCTGGGGTGCAATTTGACAACTTGTATCATCAGGAAGCCAGAGGACAATGTCATTAAAGATTTTTTTTTTGCCATTTGCATATGTATTAAAATATCCAACTTCTATTAACTAAAAAGTGTGCATCATACTTCTCTTGGAAGATACACATTTTGCCTAGCAGTATTGTAATGGTACTCTGAAAAAGATGATGTTTGTGAAAAGCTATTGACTACCCTGTCTCAGAAAGAGGATTTTGCATATGCAGTAAACACAACAGGAATGTATGCTTTGCAATAACCATGTATTAATTATATCTCATAAAACCTAAGGCCACCATTCATGTTTCAAAAGCCTCATTTATTTTCTTCTTGCTGCATTTAATCAGTGAATGAAACTGTCACCAGTGCTAAGATTAGTGCTACATTTCTGCCCCAAATATCTTCTGCGAAGTCAGTGTGCTCATGATTTAGCTTACATTGTGGTAAGATTTCACAGGTAGCCCTTGCTACTATGAGGATGTGAACACATCTGGAAACTAGAGAGAAGCAGGGTCATTCCTTATTCCTCTTGTTGGGAGAAGCGTTAAAAGGCATATTGGGCCAGCCTAGACAGAAGGAGTCCTTTCCAAGTACAGATTTCAACATGTTTGAGTGGTTCAGCATATCAGAGACAAACTACCGTATACTTATCTGTCTCAAGTCCTCTCAGGCAGGCCTATGCTGCTTTTTTTTTTTTTTTTTTTTCTTTTATATGTATCATACTATAGCGGGAATGCATAGGCATGCTTATACAAGAGGTGAACTTTCTTATTAAGACATATCTTAAACAAGAAACAAATCAGGGGGAAGATATAAAATCCAGCATGCAGTTGGTAAAATTTGGCATTTTTATCCCCAAATGTTTTGAGCTTATCTTCTATTTGTGAGTACTGCAATGGTAAGCCAGCAAATGTATTTAGGAAATATTTCCCTTTATTGGACATCCTTGAATTGACAATGGTTAGAGCTCCTCTCGATTCTTTATAGATAGCCTATACGATTAACATCCTCCCTGTGATTGCTAATCTCATCCAACGCTGAAGAAAACTTTATATCATGGAAACAGTCTGCATTAGAAAGCCGTGCCAATGCTAATAACGAGGAAGGATTAGTTGTGACATACTTCACAAGTATTCTTTTTAAATGCTGTCTCTTGTATTCAAATAAGGTATTGTTGATCGTAAGAAAAAGCTCATCAGAAAGCAATAAGAAAACAACTATTTTCTTTTGAGGTTACCTCATTCCTACCAAACAACAGGCGCACCTGCAGATCTCTGCATCCCAGACTTCAGAAGCTGGAGAGAGAAAGCCTGCCTCTCCTGCATATGCACAAAAACTTTTACACAATCCTGCCTCATGTGCCATTTATTAAAGGAGATGATAGATCCTCATTAAAAGAAAAGTAATCCTGCTCGTAGGCATATGTAAAAACAACTTCAGAAGCTAGCAATACAAAGCAATAACTTTCAGAGCTATCAAAGACAGACCAGGTCTATGCCTCGTTTTCAAAGGTTGGTTGGGTATTTCTGAAAATTTGACTTCAAGGAAAAATTTCAGACAGGGTGGAGATTATTTCCAAAAATCAATACTGTGAGAAAATACCATGGTAACACTTAAATGCAGATGTGTGCATTATCAAGAACTATAACTTGGAAATGTCCTTCCAAGTTTTCACCTCATATTTTCATTGCTACATTGCCTGTAAGGCAAGAAGGCATTAAAGAACACAAATCCCCTCTAATACTTTATTCCATTATTCCAAAACTTTTATTGTACTTCCTAATTGAAAGCAGCAGCAATTTTTCTTCCTGATGCCCTCCCTATATGGACAATGTGGCATCCATTCAAAAGAGCCATTCTGGGGAAGGTTTGGCTGGAGAGATGAACATTACCAAGTGAGCTGAGTATTATAGAAATTTCAACCACAAACTTCTTTATCTGCTTAAAAATTATCTGCTAGGAAGCTCTTTCATTTTTTGGTGATAATATATAGAAATTCCTCCTCATTCACATAATTTCAGAGAAAATATTTTGTGTTTAAGATTAATGGAAAAGGGAAAGGAGATTAGGAAGAATGAGGAAGGCAATTACATTGATTATCAGGATACAGACCACAGCCTAAAATTATGCTGTAACATTTTGTCTTAGAGAACTAACACTTGCAGTATGAACGAAAGTTGCTAGAAATGAAAGAGGAGCTCCAAAGAACTGCCTCATTCAAAAGAAGCTGGTCATTGCAGACTATTGTAATTCAACTGACAAGAGAAATTTATTATGGACTGACAATTACATAATGTTTTTGAGTGCAAGTTTGTGTTTTTTTTCAGGATAAACAGAAAAGAGCTTTTCGTAAATCTAATGCATTAGACCACAGGGCTTCACTATTCTATTATTGTATTACATTGACACGTTTTTCATGTCTTGGCTAGACTGTCTTTCCTTAGGGAATAAATCCAAAAATCTTGCAATAATAGGTTAATTATAAGACTCTTTCCTGAGGACAGACTAGATTTCAGCGCCTGATGCAGAACTTTCCTTTAGCTTGAGCAGTGCGGAGGCATGTTCAGGCAGCACAATCTTCTGCAGGGCTGCAGCTGTGTTACTAAGACTGGTTTCAAAATAGATGTGCTCTCAGCATATGCTGACATACAGGTCATACAGACAAGGATGATTATCAGATATTATTCAAGAAGGAAATTTCCAACTTGCAAACAGTAATGCTGGATGCTGTGTTTAGCTTTGTTCTGCGAATAAGAAGCTTGCTCTGGTCTCCCATATTACATGCTCATTTAAATAAAGAGCTAGACTAAAATTATCTGGTTAGCTGCAATGAGTATTATTGCTGCCAGCATGCCCAAATACTACAGTGATCTATTCTTGCTACATTTGGGCCCACTGCACTTTTCTTGAGTGTAGGCAGAAGAAGCTTCTGCATCTTTACCACCTTCCAAAATGGTAAGTACATTTGCTCTACTCACACCTTCAGCTCTGGTGTGAGGTGACTTGCACAGAGCTTTTACAAATCCAGAAAGGCAAGGTGTTACTTGAAGATGTCAGATTGAAAGGGCAACGAGGTCTGTGGTATTCAGGACTTTGAGTGAGGTGTTCTTGAGGTTTCTCTTACAAGTTAGTGCCCAGACATAGACAGTGAATTCCCATATATATCCTAAAAATGTTTTACCTGCATATATATATTTTCAAACAAGTAAATGTTGTTCTAGACACAAGGCTCAGGCTTCAGGACAGTGCAGAAGTAAGAGTGGTCATTATAAGGAAGAGTTAAAACTACACATCCTGACATGTATGTAGTTTTGAGGATGGACATGAAGGAACTGTTCTAAATACAGTTCAGTTTAAATAATATTAAAAAAAATATTCTATGCCACATGAACACACATTGGCCTAAACAAAACTGTACACAACACAAAGGCATGTGTCAATATCACTGGCCTTTGGAAACAGCCTCCATGTAAGTTCTTATGTACAGGCAAACATTAAATTCTTTCTTTGTTCATAGAAGAAAGGATAGTTCATAAAGGTCATAAGGGAACAAGTAAAATAAAAACGTTCCAGACCTCCCTCCCTCCTGAGCTCTAGAAAACTACATCTCTATTCTTTCCACACTCTGGTTATTTGAAAAGAAAATCCAGATAAGGAAATGGAAAGATGCATATGCTACACTGCCACACTCATTTCATTTGTCATATAGCTCCAGCTCAACTCTGCTTCTTGGTAGACATCAAGTTCTGCATCTGAGGACTCTGCCTTGTTTATCTATGAAAACACTTAAGATACCAGTAATCAGAGAAAGCAGCAGTAACCTGTATCACCAGGTTTCTACAGTTCTGACAACTCTCCACTGTGGGGAAAGGTCCATCTTTAAGGATTTAAGAATTTTGGGCCCAGTTATTAATTTTCATCTTTCATTTGGGCCCAAAACAGTCAGTCTAAAAACAGTAGTTAAGTACAGACTGCAATAAACCCTCCAAAACATAAATTAAGCATGACTACAGAAACTCTGCCTGAGTAAATACATTTCCACAGCACGCCCAACCCAGGTGCCAAGCAGAATAGCTATTTGCTAAGCCATCTCCGCCCAGATCCTGGAGAAAGAGAAAGCACAGAGAGACAGGTATGCCAGGGGGGGAGTCAAGTCAAGGTGAGGTTAAGCCAAAGTTAGACAAATTGTAGACCCAAATTGTAGACCCACTGTACTGGAAGCTCGTTTAATCAGAAAAGGTTTACTTAGTAAACTGCAAATATACACATCTGGCCCAGCAGCAGCTGTCTCTTGTTTTTCTGAATATATCACATGAGAAGAATTCTCATTGCTGCAGGTTGGGGAAATTTTCCCTTGTGCTCTCATCTGGTTATTCACAAATCTTTTGAGTTTGCTATTGCAAAGGAGACTCATATCTGTTTCAGTCCAATGTATGCCTCTAGTTCTCTGAGTGGTCCTGCACGCTACTTAATTAGAAGACCATGTATTTCAAACTCCATCAGTGGCAGAATTTAGTTGCATTTTAGCCCAGAAATGAGGACACCAAAATTAGAGC